AGGAAAAGACAATAATTTAAATGAAAACATCTAAGAACTCCAGTGTCCTCTGAATATTATTACAACTCACAGAAATTTAATTTTGAGGATGGACGGTGAGATTGACTGGATCATAAATTACATTTATCCATGTTATTTGACTGCATATGATTGTATGAATATGGAGAAACGCTTAATTCCACAATGACTGGAAGAAATTTTGATGCTGTTATAGGGAGATTTTGTGGATGCTTTTTGAAAATATCTAGCTGAACGATGAAAAAGCTGAAAAAAAACTTCAGCTTTACGTTTCTCTAACCTACTGACTAAGCATAAAAAAGAACTCTAGCTATCGGTGACTAGAGAGAATATCCCTAAGTAACTCAACTTTTGAACGATGCATTTACTACTGAATAGAACGTAATAAATGTCAAACCCAGACCCAGACACTTCGATCAATTTGATAATAAATAGGAAAAGCAAACAAAATTTGGCCATTGAGCTTATGAAAAATAAACGAAATGCAAACTGAATTCTGAGGGGAAAAGAACAGTATAGCCAATAAGAACCTAAGTGCTTCACCCTACTATTCTGAATTACACTGGAAAAATTTATTTAGACGGTACCTCGTATCGATTTCATGTGGCTCACAGCCATCCTCAAAATAGTAAGTTTGTCAGGCTTCCTTGCGAGTGAACTGCAAGTTGGTACCATTTCACATAATTCGTTTATATAGGCAGTCATCTTGTTACGTCTTCGTCTCTCTATTTCACAATGACTTTCCCTAGGAAATTCGAATGGCACAAAGAATTGACTTACCTTGCATACCTCTCCTTGTCTTGCTGATGATCGCCACCATCGTGTTTACAGGCAGAGAGTCTTGTACTCGTCACTTCAAACATGCTAAAAAAAAATTCACTACAATTTTGTGAGACATACTCTCTTTCGCTCCCACCATCACTATCTCGAGAGAAGTCTGTGAGGTTCTCCACCCTTAATAAGAAAATATGTTCTCACAAAAGCAAAAACAAAAACACCATCCTAATAAACTAATGACTACTTACATATCCATTTTACCAATGACAGCTCCAAGACATCATAATTCCAGACTAAACAACCAACGAGTAACGCAGCCAATATTCGCGGGTCCCGCCTAATATGTATACATCCCTTAAAACCAAATATCACAAGATAGATTGAGAAGTAAAAGAAATCAGTTCCTAGCGAGTTTCCAGGTTCGCGTAAAACAAGCCGCTAGTGCCTCCAGCTACGGGTGAAAGAAATAAGAGAAGTTTAGAATCTGAGGCAGTCTATAACGAGAAAGCGAAGGTGATGTGCAGGAACAAAGATATAAAGTTAGGTTGGCGCGATAAGAACTCAAACTGCCAAAGAATTTTGAATCATAGGATTAAGTCAGTTTTTCATTATTGAAAACATCCCCTCCAATTCAGAGTCATATAATGTATGCTAAGTTTCACGTTCTCTTGTAGCTGCTATTCATGAATTATTCCACTGGTTTTTGAAGCATTTTAATTACTTAGTTTCATAGAAAAACCTTATCAATGGTTTGATCTGAAAAGGAAATTAACGCCAATTTGTCTGTTGTTTATTTTCCTCTTTGAAGGTGTTACATTTTCGCTTGAACAGTTCATTGGACGTGAACATATGGTGGGTTAATCATAATGAACAATGTATTTGCGATTTTTCATGCTTTGGTTAATGATTCAAAGGCTTACATTTTCAATATCTTTGTTAATCATTTGGAATATTGGTCACTAATGTATTGATGACAGATAATAATATATTGGCAATAATAATGTAGTTGAACATTCTTTTAGAATACAGAATACTAGCTGACACTCAGCGCTAGTTGGAGCCAAAAAAAGAACGACTGATCTTCACACAGTCCTTTATTAATCAATACCAACAAGCAGTCAGTTGACAAGGCCTACTGTCCGTTTAGCATTTGATTTGTTAAAGTGCATAGTCTGATTTACATTGCTGACTATATAGCTTTGTTAACCACGGTGGTATAACGAAAATCACACCTACAGTTTCAAGTGTGGCTAAATGAAGACCAACAGTGTTGATGTCCTACCTCATAGTGTAAGATCCGTTTTGAATGTTTGGTGTGTGTGAAAATCCCTCCGTGTATATGCTTGCACTTTGTTCCTATTGATCCCCTTAGTTGTACATCGTTAGTTTTTTGATTACATTTGAATTGTTAATATTTGTATTTTTTTATTATAGTTTTTGTTTTTCTTACGCCTTCACTATGTTGTTTTACTTGACACTTGTTCTTGGCGGAAGTCACATTGATTTGCTCCTTTTTTTGTGTGTGTTCTATCCAGTCAGGATAAAATAGCGTTCGTTTGTTGTGACTGATCTGATTGATTGAACAATTATTGGTTGAACAGCTGGGTGGTAAGGTTTGTTTAGAACTCCTATCTACCCGATTACTTGTTTTGATTTTGACGGGCAAGGGCGCGTGTCTAACGTACCTGGAAGGCTATTCATCTGTCCAAACCAAAGTTTAGACTCTAGAAATAGCGCATAGCAAACTTGAATCAAAGCACTTTTTCTTCATTAAGGCAGTTCCGTTTCTAGTTTGTTCGATACCAATCTTACAATGACGAAACCAAAATGAACGCACACATGAGTAAAAAGAACACAACTAAACACCACTTGTAGTTTGTAACTACAAACTTCAATATCTCCGGACATACAGATCGACTTAATACCCTCCAACCGTCCAGTAGCTTGACTTTTACGTCCTCATGACAGGCTTTACTGCCTTCAACATTCTTTATTGGGTTGTCGTGTTCAGTCCTCACACCGATTAGGCTACTTTTTCTAAGACCACTCAAACGTATTATTCAGCAAATCACTGCTAACATTTGTACCATTGTCCCATCTACAAGTGGAATAAAGGAAATTCACTACTCACATTACTCTTTTGAAAGTTGTACAAACTCATACGAACCGTTAGCAGCCTATCAAATGCAGATGTAATGAGCACTTTATTAGCAAAAGGCCATAGTGACCTACTTTTATCAAGAGAACTCGACTGGTTTAATGGAAACAATTATTATCATAACCACTTGTACCAGTGATTGTTTTACTGTACTAGTTTGTTTGGCTGTGCTAAAGACATTCCTCCTTCGTTAGATTGTGACTCTACACGCGCCCACGTTTCTTCAGTTATTCCGCTTGTACTCTTGTGGCAGGATCTCGGTATTCCTTCGAGATCATCAACAAATATATCTCGCTGCACCATCCAACCGCTTTCTTATATCTGGTACGAAGGCTTCTTGTAGTGGTGATCATAGACAACCCCGACTCAACGCCACGCTACAAAGTTAAGCGCCAATAAGAATTAACTTTATCAAGGAAGCTATTCCATCAGTTACAAATTACTGATAACAATAACTATTGTTATATATTGAGCGAATTCATATTGCATGACGTCTCTTGGTGATCGATGCCAAGAAAACGTAGAAGCACGATCAATTAAAAGCATAAACCGTATACGCATGGTGCGAATGATGGAAACAGAACAGTCTGGCACATTCACAACTGAACTTTATATGGAGCACCAAATACTCCGAATCAAGTCATCGCGCCTGTGTATCACCTTAAGACTAGTATCGTTACAGTCACAATCCTTGATAAATTTGAATTTCGGAATAATTTGAGCTAGAGATGTGGGCAACTGCTTCAGAAAACATCCCAGAAAATAATATATAGTCTCCAGAAGGTCATGAAAATTGACCTATAGCTAAACATTGTGAACCAGTAGAACCACTTGTATCGGCTTCATAACATTCATCAGCATACGGATGTCATCCTTCATTAGAGGTGATCACTAATTTGCATAAATTATACCTCCGACCACCAAAAACTCGATAGTCACTTTTATCACTTTTTAAATTAATATCAAAAAAATCAACCGACGTTTACCATCTAGGCACAAAGAATAATGGGTTAAATTGTTCAGACTAGCCAATCACGAAACATTGTTTTAATCAAGCACAATTTTAATATCTAAGTGAATTTAAACACCGCGGGTTTCGTTTTCTCGTAGATTACACTATGATTTGCTAAGAAAATGTGAGACTTTCTTTACCGTTTATCCCATCTTTCTAGTGAGATTTTATCGCCACCTAACAGCATTTATACTTGGCAATAGTTCTCTGTCTGTATATTTAGATCATATTATCAACAGTTGATATATATATTAAATATTGAAAATATAATAATATAACGAAGTTATATGAATATATAATATCCAATAATATATAGTATGAGCCACTAGCAAGAGACAAGTATTCAATCTGGAATGCTTGAATTGTGATCCATAAGCTTAGAAGTATATTGTGGTATTGTTATGAAATGGAACATGTCAACAACCATTCAGTTTTAACTATCAGTTCAGTACTTGTCCATAGAACTTCCTCATAATGATGATTAATCTCACAGGCTTTTTTGGTTAAACAAGACTTCGTTAGTACATGTAAATGCTGAAAGAGATAGTTGATCACTAAAGCGAACACTGTTCATGGTTATGTTTAGACAGTTTTATTTATATTGTACATTCGAAAATTTTATTCGAGAACTTTTCAAGCACTATTTACTGGCTTTGTTGACTGTATTCACATAGCTAAATTTTAGGAAGCCTAGGTGGGATAATGCTTCCACTGGCTATTTTATTTGCACAAATGTTATGCATATTTACCACGTTTTTAATTCAGTTTTACCGAACCTTTGTAGCCTTTTAGGATTTTTTTTCATATACGTTAAGTGATGTTTGGAATGTCACGGTAATTACAATGGTTGATAATTATTAGATCTCCCAAAACCTACGTAAGCTTCCATAAATCATGTAACATATTCGAGGTACAACTTCTTTTTAAAATACGCTAGAAGCTCGAAAAACCTTTCATCTACGTAATACATTGAATTCAAGAGATACATTTAACTGACTGAAGCTTTGCTCATTGAATTATACCCTGAATTATATTATTTGTTTATGATTGTTAACTGTTTTTTGTTTCTCACTATGTTAATTTAAACTCAATGTTTAACTTTGGTAGTGTTATCAGAAAGATACAGGGATACTAGTCATTAAACTTCACAACATATCCGTAAGTTTTCACTGTGACCATATTTCACAGTTGAATTATGTTGTGTTTTGAAAGTTTACCTAAACACTATGTTTCTGTGGGAATTTGTTATAAGTGATATTCTTTGTTTACACACGGGCAGAATATTTCGAATAATATCAGGTGTTTATATTAGCTTTATCTAAACATCAGTAACTTCTAATTGTCTCAATACCCGTTACTTTTATCAATTTCATCCCAAAATTCAGAAGAGATAAGCTGTTTCTGCATCTGCTTTAATTTTGCTGCACATAAGTTTTGTAGTGTTTCAAACGAATCATTGAGAATAAAGATTAAAGTTGAACAGTCACTGTAATTACCAAGCTTTGACTTGATACTTTAGAAAAAACCGAGCATTCGGTAAATCATTAATAACAAAGTACTGATATATTTGTAATATCCCAATGAGTATAATTTAAAACTTCTGAAGTTTCGTGGCTGAGTTCACATAGTTTCTTCACACGGTAAACACATTATCAAACAAAACAACACAAGATTAAATGGTACAGATATGCAAGGAATAATGTTTGCTTCACTGTAAACATAAGCGTATTCCATTCCTTGTACAGTTCTATCTATTGTTAATCTGTAATGTAGAGTAAATAAATTGTGTGGCTTGTCTGAATTGATGGTGAGGAATAGTTCTAAACACTGGCACAGATGATTTTCATGAAGTATGTTTCGTAATTATTATCTCTGCGCTTAATATCACCTTATAATCGTGTAATACCAAGTAAATGCTAGTTAGCGTTAAAAGGTGATAGGGCAACGAACACCAGTTTATTACAGCTCGTTTAATATAACTTAAAGTATACCAGACTGTACTATTAAATGTGACGCTTCAGAAATTTAGCTATTATTTACTGCATTAACTTTCCACATTCGTTTAATAGCACGAAACGTTGTGGTATTACTAAGGCACTTCCTTATTGCTAAGGCTTGCACTGTTCAAGTCCACATGTTTGCATAAGCGTTGTATATTTCACTAACAATAAATAAATCCACATAATTAAAGGTTACACACGGTATTTTAGCGTGTCTATGGACACTATCTTAAATATTTTCAAAACTGGTGACTAATTTAACAAGGTTGAAAGCAATGAGTAAACGAAAAAAACAACGTTTTTCCTCCTCAAGGCTTTCGTATGAGTGTTCACTTGCCTCCTATTATTTGTGGCTTCAAATAATATGTTGAATGATTTGTGTTGCATAGCCCCTCTTGAAAATGTATATTTTGTTGCGGTAAAACTTAAATATGGATAGAATATATAGGGATTAACCCATGTTAAATTCAAATGCACAATGATATGTGTGATATGATGAGGCTTAAACTGTTATCTAATTCGTATAAATTTGTTTATTTTGCATCGTCATTCTTCTGTTAGAAGAAGACTAGAACGTCTCAATATATGACTAATAACAAATTATATTCTAGTTCACTTTTACTTCTTGTCGTCCTTATCTCCCTAAAAAGTTGTCTAAAAAACATGATGGGAGGAATAATTTTACTTCAAGCTATTAATTAAGAAACAATATGATCTATATTTTTTATCCGTTTTTTTATTTGATTTGTTTACGATCTAAGTATTAACGGCAAAAGATTGCCTCTGATGATTTTTAGATAACTTTGAGTAAAAATTACCATGTATAACAGACGAAGCTAAAGAAGGCCCTTTGAACTCGTGTATAACTTAGCTGTTAACTAAGTGCCTTATTAAACTTTCGCTTATTTCAGATAACCGAATATATTTGACATATTCAAAGAAAAATGGATTGTGATCCAAACACTGACTACAGTAAGCTAATCACATAATAATTTTCCAATATATAGACCGAACAGCTTTATTTTCTCCACGTGATCTACCGCGTAGTGAGGTAGGTTTGAAATCGTTTTCCAAATAAAACGATCTGATGAATTACGTTGAAATAAGACTGAAAGTAAACTACAAATCATTTAGATTGAAGAACGTCTACGATTCTATCAAATGGAGGTAGATAAAAAGGATGAGTTGATAAGACAAGTGACAAAGTGAGCATTTTGCTGTCCTCTTCTTACAGTTTAAAAATTAACTTTCTTCGTAGAATAACTGCAAACACACCAGTTATCCAGAATTTTCGTACACCCGATACACAAATTTGTTCACATGAGAAACTCGAAGAAATTCGAATAAAAGTTGAAAAACTTCAACACACAGTAAGAAAAACTTTTTCAAATGTTTTTTAAACCGAATAAAAAATATTTAGATTGCAGAAAATAAAGACATAATACATGAAAAGAATATAACAATCAGCGAATTAAAAACAGAATATGATGCAATACGATTAGAGAATGTAGATCATTTAAAAAGAATTGAAGAATTAGAAAATTTATTAGTAGAAAAGTCACATAAACTACATACTTGTGAACAATCTGAAAATCAACGTGATTTAGTAATTCAGTCACTACAAGAAGATTTAAAAATAAAAACAACTAAACTTCTAGATCTCCGTTACCAGTATAAGTAAGTAACTGCGTTGAAATAAATTTACTGCAGGAAACCAGTTACAAATCGAAGTCTGAATTGAGCCAAATTTTACTGATTAATTAGTCCTCGTTTATTGAAGAGAATATAATGTTAGTCACAAAATGAGTATTCATCATCACTGGTCATTTATTATACCATGAGTTAACTTTTAATGTTTGAGGGAAAACTGTTTCACATACCAGACACGTGAATAAAGTTTGGGTGTTTCGAGGGCCGGTAGCACAATATTTCATAATGAAGAATAGATCGGTTACAGACCTTCCGATTAACGCGTTAACCAAGAGAAGAGCATATTATGATAAAATGGTTGGCGGCTAACGTCGTTATGACCTAGAACTGACCAATATGAAAGCAATACTCAACAAGGATGAGCAAAACTAATACTCTATGCTTGGTGGTTGGTCAAAAATTAACTAGTTCCGAAAGAAGAGGAAAAAGACAAAACTAATGAATACTTATTCAAGATCGTTATTGCATTACAGACACTCATTTATATACATGCACGACCGGTGCGTGCAGCAGACCAGTCGAGTAAAAATATTAATGAAGATTAACGACACTGATGGGAAAAACGGAGTACAAGGTGCACGAATAATCGGTTCTAGATTATGAGTAGAAAACCATGTAGCAACAGTTTGCAGTTCAAATAAAAGCCTGGAACTATAGTAGTATGAAAATTATAAAACCAAAATACTTAATATATATATATATATATATATATATATATATATATATATATATATAATCGTAGTAAAATAAGTTTGCATGTTTTTACTTCATAGCTAAATTATTTCCTGCAACAAACCCAAGTAAAAGTACTCATAGTTCAGGCTGAAAAAAACGTTAATACTCGATAAGTGATATGATTGTAGCTGATTATTTACTTTTTATCTTCTTTAGGATGTTAGAGGAGAAATATGAAAGCAAAATTCAAGCTGAAAAGACATCTCAAGAAGAATTAGGCAAATACTTCATGGATTTAGCAAATTTGCTAGAATGTGAGGCAAAACCGCAATCCTGTATTCTTAAAGTAATGAATAACATTTCTTACATTTTCATCTGTGTTTCACTTTTTTTTGGTAAACTATGTTTGGTAAAAAAATTATTTTTCAAGACATCACACCAGTAATATAATGACAAAATATTATTTTCTGTATGGGGGTTGTGAAGGTTATAGAAGTTCACTGAAATCATGAACTGATTGAAGTTAGACAGCAGTTGGGAACCTTGAATTACTGGACGGTAGTATGGGACTCCACAACAGTGCCTATCTACGACGGCCCTAATTGTGACTATTCATCGACTTTGTTTTTTATATTGTTTTATAGTTTGCTGTAACAATTTAAAGCCCTATGTAACTCTGCTTAGTAATAATATCACAAACACTTAAGACTCAAGTTATTTTACAACAACATTTGTATAACTTGTATTAACTTTTAAACACTAAACACAACCTCATATAGAATAGATATAATGTGGCTAACACTGAAACTCAGGACATGCGTTTTCTTCTGTCTGGGACTCGTCAGATAAATGTACTTCCTGCTCTTAGTCACATTCCGTCTGTTCTGTATTAACTAATGTCAGGCAATCCACAGAGGATACGCATATACCAACCAAGATTTATCGAATTTCAATCAGAATATCAACAATGAGATCATTCAAACTATTACAAATGAAACTTAGGTCAATTGTTAAAACAACTTACCCAGTAAACAGGATTCTATATAATTTTTAGTAAAAAAATAAATGTCATTTTCACTTAAATATAACTCTAAAGCAGATACTGACAAAACATCAACCGATAATGTTACTATGGCAACTTTGACCTATGAATCAAACACATGTAACTTGTTTTATTCTTGACCTAATTTAACCTGTTATTTCGCAAAAATTATTAGGTATACTATAAACAAGTTTGAACACTTACAAAAAAAGATTTAAGTCAGTTTCGTAATGTTATCTTGTTTGCATGCTCTTTCATAAATAATGAGATATTTTTTCCTCATATGAAGCTAGCTAGAAGAGCGGCCTAAGGGTTAGGGCTCTCAATCCAATTATTAAGTAGCAGGTTTGGAATTTTCCTCACATAATGGGATTTAGATAGAAGGATATTATTACTGGACTTTAAAACAAGATAACAATGAACCAACTTTTGTCTTATTTTGAAAATCTCAACCAATCCTTAGCCATGATAACTGACTTGGAAATATATATTGCGACAAATGTGATATATCTAAACCTCTGAGTCAGAATCCAGTTGTCCACATTTTCATTAATTTGCTAGTACTGTAGAAAATTTGTTGAATAGAATTTGGATAAAATTTAGATTGAATATAATTTGACTACAGACCAAAACTGTATCATGAACTATCAGTAAAGGTTTGTAATTCTCCTTTGTCGATCGTCATGGTTGCAAATGATAACCTTTGTTGCCATGTATTCATTCTTAGGACATCATGAAGCTAAAGCCTTTGGTCAAATATACCTACCATATATGATACATGGTCAACTGCAGAATCTAGAATGAGCGTTTCGTTCTATTTGAAATTGATCAGCTTGATGTACCTACATTCTATTATTGATTTTCACACTGAAATTTCAACACAGTATCTTTCACTTTAAACGCCTAACTCGTTATTCATTGAGCTACTGAGTTAAAATGTTTAGTAACGTATTCTAAAGGTAGAAAGGTATTAGAAATGGTTTGAAATTTCCCATTTCTGTTGTTCGAAACTTAATTTCCTTGAGAACATCAACACTGGATCATTTGTACATCTTCCATCAATTGTAATTTACTTACCCTATTACTCTTCTGATCGTTGTTATTTTGATTGTTCCCTGTTTTCCTTCCTGTTCTCTTCATTTGAATCTTCTGCTGGTAAGCATTCCACTCTCTGTACCTGCTACATACTACTTATATTTGTCTATATAAATAGTGCACACCACATATAAACATTTAGCTGACAGATCCTCAAGACTGATGCATGCTCAATTCTACAATCACCATGTATTAAACCACAAACTATCTGAGATTTAACCAAGTAAATCAACTGTGACATGTTTATTCTTTTAAGGAACTGAAAATCAAATCAAATCAAATCGTACACGAACTATTGATAAGTCTTAGTGTTTACGACTGATGACAGGCAGTTTTATTTAAAAGGGATAAATGAGTTATGAAATTTCGGTTTTATTCATTATTCTATAGAAGTGTGGATAAATTATTTAGTACATTCATTATTTTACCTAAAACATGATCATTTTTTAATTCGTGTTTAAATGTACCATATGCTCCATCAAAATTTATTCACTTTTATCAAATACGTTTCCTTCATACATTTATACTCATTAAAATTCTAGTTAACTGACATACTAAGATCATTATCTGACTCTAAAGAACAAGTTAAACGACAAGGTGATTCAATTGAAGCATATGAATTTGAACAAAGAGCATCTAGAGAGACTATATCACGTCTATCTGGTGAAATTAACAAAGAACAAGAATTAAGACAAGCAGCTGAAAATTCTGAAAGAGAAATTAAACAGGTATCATGTTTCTATTTATTCATTTAGTGATGATCAATATTAATCTACATTTCTTTTCCTTCAAAAAAAAATAGTACATCTATTTAACGGTTTTTCAGCAACATTCTTCCTATGTCGAAAGCTGAGACTATTTTTATTTGAAATGAATAGTTTTTAATTCACAGGAGATGTAAAGCCCAAGCCAAGATTTAACATCAGTCCAATAAACGGCGTGCTGTTGAACTGAACCGTTTAAATAGATATAAATCCCCTAGAAGGATTCCATACGATCATCATAAGCAGTGGTTAAAGATTATGGGTTACGTGACTCGGGATAATTCACAACTTTTTTGAAACATATTTTATGTCACATTGTAAGAGAGGTTTCTACAAGGTTGTCTGATCATGATTACAGAAACTTATGCCTGAAACACAGTCAATTATTCACATAAACAATCATCAATCAACTCATATTTACCAAACATATTGTGGAAATCTGAAAAACATTCCAAATCATTAACAAATATTCAACACGAAGTCTACCTACTTTTGTACAGGAAATTGTCATCGCGACTCTCCAATCTCGTCTATGTGTATTGAAGGAAGTTCTGTGATGTTCCTTTGATCACCACAGTGATCGTGAACACAACCGGATAATTATCTACCCTTAAATAATTTTGATGATCTCCATACATCGACTTTCATTCAGTTTTATTCATGTCGACCAGTGGTGTAATTTTTGACCGTTTCGATTACCATAGTGTAGTCCCTTCTTTCATCACGATCATTAGTGATCGTTGCTCAACCTCTTATAATCTGAATGACTGTATTCTTAGTAGTTAAGCGCATGAACAATCCTAATGGGGAGCAAACCAAATACCTTCGACCTCATGAACAAACGCTTAATCTGTAGACCACGAAACCGGAATCCATTGTTATATGTGTTTAACTCGAGTGATGGTCTAACTAAGGTGATTTAGTGATGTGTCAACTATGAAGATTTGGCAATCTTCACCAACTCCTGTACTAATGTAACCACATGTCAATCAGAACTACATTTAATTACATATGGTGTACCGTATTCTACATATAATGATTTTCGTCTATGTCTTGAATATCGATCTCAATTTGACTAGGCGAATCATTGTATTGCTTTGTTTTGAATAGTGTTACTGTTTGCATTTTTAAGCTGTATGTTGTAGCTGATGAGAAGCCTTGAAATACAAGACTTTTTTTCATTCTGTATATATGTTTTCAAAGTTTAGTTCGTGCTCATTAACTATTTTAAATTCCCTGAAATCATGAAACGATCAATGTTAGCAAACTAATAAAAACCTGGAAGCACTGAACGACCGTTTCATCTTATTGTAAGTATCGACCGCCTTGCACACCAGTACTGAACCCAGGAACTTCGGTTTCGCTTTTGAGCGCCTGTCGAGATCATCTGTATGAGGTTCCAAGCAGTTACCCATCAAAGACTATGAATGATGTCCGAGCAATATCGTGGACTGATTAAAACTCGACACCAAAACTTTTGGTTGCTGGTTCAATGTTCTTTTGACCAAGTGTGCGTGTGCAAGATCGAAGTTTCAAGCTCCGACCCCCGGTTGCGCACTGTTGAAGAGTCCCGTAATAGGACGAAATACCGATTGATCGGTTCACGATTTTAATAAAACTTAACAGTCTCCACATATTTTGTATTGATTGTTTTTTTTCAGGAATTTGAAAAAATCAAAACAGCTTATCAAAGATCAGAAAGTTGTATTCATTTATTAGAAGAACGTGTAAACAGTTTAACACAATCACTTCAAGCTGCAAGAGATGATGCAATGAAACGTGGAAAACAATTAAATAAAATAAATGAAATTGAAGCAATGTTTCAAACTAAAATGAATAACCATAATGCATCAGAACAATCAACAATAATGGATTTAGAAAAGTGTCGTTGGAATTCTGATGATTTAAAAGAAATTCAAAAATTTATGTAAGTATAATATTACATAGTCAGAATTAAGAGTCATAACTGAGAACAGTTACTGTCAGTCACTTCTTCAAACAGTCGCATTATAAAACTATGTATATTCTATCGTAAATATCAGTTTATATCGTTCGTTTTTAAAAGAATTACCAATAAGTATTTGAATTTCTTAGATGAAAGTACAATAAGTTTAACATCTGGGCTACCTGTTCCTGCCATCTAGATATTTCAACAAGTTATCTATCTTTGTTTGTTTTAATATATCATTATGTCTATTAATCGCACAACCTATACTGCTGCGTTTCTGAAAAATGTACAACCTTTCGTTATTAAAGTTACAAAAAGCTCAAAAAGAGAGAATATGGTTGCTGGCAATGTACAACGAAAAGAATGTACATCATTCCCATGTTCATTTACTGGACTGATAACATCTAGCTGGCGACCACTCAGTATTTATCGCGAGGACCGACCAAGAAGAAAGAAACGGAAACTTGTTGAAATACTTTGTGCTGAGAATTCTATATTGTACCAATAATATAATATTGAATAAAGCTATTAATAATAAAAAAAAAAAATAAAAACATTGATTTCTATTGGGAAAGATAAGAAAGAAGCTCTCTGCAAAATCATCTTGTTTAAGATAAAAATTTCTAAAGAATTGTAAACCAAGCGGATCTAGGCAACTACTTCACTTAAGTGGTATATACCCACCATTTCGACTTTATGTTACTTATCCCCAGACTGATCACTCTGATCCCCTTCACTACTACATAGATGATTCAAAATATTCCAATTATGCATTAAATGTTATGTATAAAGATAACTAGGTATTGATTATTTTTAGAGCAGCCTGTACATTCTAATATTAAGCAAAATAAATTGACGTTTTAAATAATTTTTTGTAGCGATACAATGGTTTCTTGGCTTTCATTTCCTCATCCGGATCAATTATCATCACTATTTAATACAATTTCACAGAGGATTGAAGAAATGGAGGAGTCTTTAAGACAACATACACAGGTAAGGTATTAGTTATAACAATAAAATGCACATTATAAGTTATTCTACAGAGTTTAAGGTTTTTCAAGAATAAAAGTATTGTATTTTCGGTTTATGCCGAGAACTCTAGGTTCAAAAATTTGTTAAAATGTACCAGCTCCGATCTGCCTATACAAAATGTAAAAAGCAATAGTTTTCCAATAATGTAAAAAATCATAGTTATTGACAGAAAGAAAACTAACCCTCAAAATTCCACTACATTAGTATGAATCTGTATCAGTAATTATTCATGCTAATAATAACTCGAGAGTAAAGTACCTATGGCAAAAGTGTAAAAATTTCCATAAACACCTCTTACCAAAGTTTTGACTTAGTTTTTTTAGTTTTGCAAACTTTTAAATGAAAAACAATCATGATTTTTTTACATCCACCAATAGATAATAAAATTTGAAGGTGAACAGAACTTTTAATTCACAACCATTTAACCAATGATGGCTACATGACTACGAAAAAAATCAATATTAATCATACAAAAATTCAGATGATTCTGTTAGAATTTGTGGTTTTGTGCCCTATCAATGTATAACGTAATGATACCGCCAATTAGAGAGCAGTAATTTACCGACTGAACCAATGATGCATAAAACCCATACGAACAGTCTAGAGTCTTTATCGGTTCTTCTTTCTGCCTAACCCTGCCCGTTGAGTCCAGAACACCAATCTCAGCCTCTGCGATATGAATGATGTATTCCAAACATACTGGATTTATATACAAACCAAACAGACCACATCGTGCCATAAAATAGAAAATAACATTTATTCAAGATCAAGCCGAAAAGTTGCTGTGATTGTGGGAGACTGTAATTAATAGACTGGGCATAACTCAAGTACGGTTAATCGTATAATAATTGTTCATAGGTCAAAATAAAGCTTATAATAAAAGGAACACGAATATGAACAGTTTAGTTACTTAACAAATATACAATAAAAAATATGTATAGTATTAATCCAGAAGTAGATTCCAACAGTTACCAATCGTTATTCTCATTGGGACATAACAGATTCATTTAAGTAAACATAATAATCAAATTTATATACTTTTGATTATCTGTTCTGTAAAGAAAATAAGGAATAACATTTCCTGGTCCAGTTAATAAAAAAATTAGATAATTTGAAAAGTTTCAACAAAGAACCATTTCTTTTGTATAAGAAATAACTCTAAACTAAATACTTCATTGAAGAATACACATCATAAAGTTTGAAGAAGCGCCCTTGCCAAGTAAGAGTTTCTGATAAAACATAAACGTATTGGGTTGCAAATGAATTCAGCTGACCAGATCTCAAATAAGACAAACTATGCATAGTAGATTCTAGTAATATTAGTACTAAGTAATAAGTAAAATTAATTCTCATTTACTTGGTAAGATGAAACTTTTGTCGACCAGTTATAATCCTAAATATGAATAGAGTACTGAATGGAAACATTTAGAGTTGAAGTGCATGTAGTATATAATCTTATAGACTGTAAACATCGCACATCTACCATACAAGTCTCACCAACACAAATCTAGGTTATTCTCACGGTGTGGTCTTGGTTTATCAGTCAGTCAAATAGTAACTGTTATCACATTTTTTTAATATGTTAATAATTTGCCATCACATAATAATAATAAGAAGCTTAAAATTCAATATTAAACGTGATGAGGTACTAAGTCAATCCACATGAAAATGCTTTATAAGCATTCAGCAATGAATATAAAATTCAAGGTTACTTCCATCATAGGCTAAAGTGCACTATAAAATTGTTTGAAATCAGAAGATACTGGATAGTTATTTACTTTTAGTTTGAGACTCAACTTAGCCAAGAACTTATGATGGATCATATCATGTTTCGTTATTTCTTGCGGCATACACATAGCTTCTCGATTACTATGTCAGAATTCAATATTTTACAATTCTAGCTTAAATCAATTTTCAGGAAACCACTATGAATATTAAATGACATATTGCCATTGTTATGGATTCTCAAGGTAGAGGCGAAACAGCCGTCAAGCGTTCGCTGGATTTCTTTTGGTTGACGTCAGTTTTTCATAGAATTCATCATAATGATGTACGAACTTTTGACAAATCCTCCATTTTTATTTACTTCTTTATGTAAAATTTGTGCACTGAACATACACTAAATTAAAGTATGAACTTTATTCGCATTCAAACAACCGATGTGTCTAATGAAACATGATATTTAAAAACAATCAATCATTATTTCTGTGTTTCATTTTATATCTTCTACCAAAGGTTTGTACGGACATAGAATTAGAATTAAATGATTTAAGAGAGGAGCGATCAAATTACAATTCCAATTTTGATATGTTAAAAGAACGTATTGCTTATTTGGAAGAACAAAGAGCTTCTGATGGAACACTAATTGATGAATTAAGAAATGAACGTGATAGAGTAAGTATTTTACTCTACCGAAGAAAGTACAATATAATATTGTCTCGTTCAATTATTTTGAATTATCCATACTATTAATTTGGGCGTCAAATGTTCATCTACAAAACTGACTGCGTCTTTTATTCTAAAAAAAAAGGACAATACACTCAGACAAAACAACTTTCGTAATGCAAATACAATTGTTTCAAACTATCCGTATCTACATAAGGATGAATAACAGTCAAACTAATGATTATTAATAGTTAACACTGAAACGTGTTTGTTAAGTTTATTTCAGATTTATAAGACAGCTAGTATTTGTCACCATAGAACATAACATTTATTCTCCTCGTACTTAAAAATAATGTACTCTCATTTTTATGTCTATTGGTTGCTTTCAACTGCGTTTGGCAGATATTTACTACTGTTAGTTCCTACAATTTAAGTGCGATATAAATCTCCCTACGTCAAATTAGAGCTGAATAGTGATGCATTGTATGTATAGCTCTTTGAAAGTTTCGTTCCAGTCTCTAAGTAAATTGATTAGTTTTTGCAAATCCGGAAGCTTTGGATAGGTTTGTCTCCCTAATATCGGGCTACTCAACAGTGTACATCTACGGCCTCATCAGTGACTGAGCAAGAACCTTCAAACATCACAATGAGTACTTAACGTTTAGACTGTTAAGCTGGCTTCCAGTGGTCTGAATTTCGATTTTTAATGCTTACTAGCTCCCAACAGTTGTCTAACTAAGGTCAGTCCGTGTTTAGAAAATCGCAAAACTTAATAACTTTCAGAACTACCTATACTAAAAGTACATAAAGTAAATTAGTAAAACTATACTGAGTAATTTATTTATGCAGTATCCCTTTCAAAATATTCTTGAATTCAGAACAATTTATCACAAATGAACTGAAGTCAAACATGTCGACTTTTATATTACAACTAAATACCTCGACAGTGTCCTGCTCAATGTTTGATCTGAAATTTCTAATCTGGATTCCGTGTGGAGTGTTGGTTGTGGATTATCAAAACTTCCCCGAACCAGGAAAAAAAGCTGTTTGTTAGCTTCAAGTTCTCCCGTTGATGTGTTAGTATTATCAATCATTATCGCTCACATTTTATTATTTAAGTCTGATTTTTCTATGACTAACAGGATTAATCATGAATAGTTTTAAGTCGTCTAACGTTTAATTAATTTTGTTTTCAATGATAATGACAATCATGAGTTTATCATTACTTAATGTCTGTGTTATCATTATTTGTTTGCAGTTGCACTGCCATCTATGTAAATTGGCTCAAATTCTCAAAATAGATGAACCAGTTGCTGAATTGGGTGCAGAGATGTTAGGAGATACATTAGCACGTAAATCGAAACTATTCTATAGTTGTAATATTATCACAGTTAAATTCATTCCATGCTTTTATACTGCTCTACTATAAGCTTTTATTATAATCTTAAGGTTTCCCACAACAACGGCGGCCTGCTTGAGCATCTGGGCTACCTGTTCCTGCCATCTAGATATTTCAACAAGTTATCTATTTTTGTTTGTTTTAATATATAATTATGTTTATTAATGGCATGACCTATTCTGCTGAGTTTCTGAAAAGTGTACAACCTTTCGTTGTCAAAGTTACAAAAAAGTCAATAAGAACCAATGTGGTTGCTGGCAATATACAGCGAAAGGAATACACATTATTCAGATGTTCATTTACTGAACTGCTAACATCTAACTGGCGATCACTCAATATTTATCGCCAGGACCAACCAAGAAGAAAGAAACGGAAACTTGTTGAAATACTTTACGCTGAGAATTCTACATTGTACCAAAAATGTAATATCGAATAAAGCTGATGATAATAATAATAATAATTCGCCTATTAATAATGCTTTATTAGATATTGTAAAGCTAATTATTGATGTTCAATGAAATTCTCATAAATGTTCACTATTCATAGGCTTCAACAGAGGTATAATCTAGTTTTCCGGTTTATCATCAATTACATTTAGCATTATTTCACTCAGAATTCTTCATACATTTTATCATACTTCACTGAGCTCATACTAATAGAACAAACATAATTTAATAGTGATAATGTTCACCAGTTAATTTAAAGTCAGAACAAATTAATTGATCAAACTTATTAGCTATATATATTTACATCGAATGAATGGACATGAAAATGTTAGCTACAACAGAAAATGATCTTAATGCGTAATAATCAAAGGTTATCAAAGTTGAATAGAAAACAATGCACCGATTACTATATAGGCTATTTGCTTAGAGGATGATTTAATCGATACATCAAAAGAGAAAAGGGATAAAAGGGAACAATCTGTGTAAGGTATGTAGTAACGGAGATTTTAACTCACGGATTTCTTCGGTTTCAATGTACGTTGGAGGTTTCATATAAGGTATATTAAATGATGAATTACTTACGCTTGTAATGCCTCATGCAGGAGCATAGTCAGCACACCATCACTCTCCATCCAACCTTGTCCTGGACAATACTTTCCAGTTCTTTCCAGCTGTTATTCATCCTTTTCATATCTGCTTCCGATTCCCGACGTAGTGTGTTCCTTTACTTTCCTCTTCTCCGTTTCCCTTCACTATTCCAGGTTAGGGATCGCCTCGTGATTCAGTTTGATGATTTTCACAATGTATGTCCTATCCACTTTCAAGGTGTTTTCCTAATTTCATTTCCAACTGGAAGCTGGTTTGTTCTCTCCCACAGTAGGCTGATGCTGATGGTATCCGACCAACGGATATTGAGTATCTTGCGTTGACAACTGTATATAAATTCTTGTGCCTTTTTGATGATGATTGTAGTAGTTTTCCAAGTTTCAGCTCCGTACAGTACAACTGTCTTGATGTTCTTATTGAGGATTCTGACTTTGATATCAGGTGATGGCTGTTTTGAGTTCCATATATTTTTCAAATGTAAGAATGCGGCCATTGCTTTGCCAATTCTTACCTTTACGTTTGCATCATATGAGATTAGATTAATAATAAACATATATTAGATGAACAATTTAGATTTATTTTAAAAATATGCATAAATAAAATGTAATTTACTGAATTAATACGTTTGCCTTAATTCTTTCGAAAAACATGCATCCGAAGATAACATAATATTCAAAGATACAATAACTCTATTGTAGTGAACACGAACACCAGTGGGGACAATCGAATCTGTTTGACACAAAATTACAGCACATGCTAATAAAATCTAACAATCAAGTAGTAAATACGTAATTTGAAAAATGTCAATTAATCGTCTCAAACTTCATTACTCTTTCGTCTTCACACCAATCATTCTCTTTTCTTTGATCTACTTAACCTTCTGACTTCAGGCATTTCACTTTTGGTTGATGATACATACTAATTATATCTGTCGACATCAGTAGCACACACTACAATACCAATTTAAAAAAAACTTTTATGCATTTCCCATCTTCCCCAGTTATTAATTCTTGATCAACTTATAATCTTATCTTGAAATTTACAATTTCTACATTCAATTCCAACTAACTACCAAAATGTCTCGACTTATCAATAATGTATCCTTGTATGACGGTTCATATTTTGTTAATATCTCTTGATTTTTAATTAGTACTAATTTATGGAGTTATAATGATCACAAAAAGGTTAACTTTTTCGTTTATGTATGAAAATATTAAGTTTATTTGTATCAAGGAAGTACATTTGGATAAAGCTTAGTGAACCTCACATATTGATTACATGATGAATGATGATTGTCTTAAAATGAACTGTAAGTTTAGTTTTATACTCAGTAAATAAATGATGAATAATGATTTTAGTCAATGTCGATGGTGAATTCACTGGACTTTATGATTTTTTTAATTAAATCTTTTATATATGCCATAACCTTCAGTTCGTCTTACCCAGTTACAACAAGGTGACACGGAAAAACAAACAAATCAACGTTTACAAATTTCTCGATTACAACGTGAACTACGGGAAACAAAAGATAGAGCTGATTCACTTGGTTTACAAATAGGAGTTATGCGACGTCGTTTAATTGATGCTCAGGAGAATAGACATCAAACAGTTATGCCAGCAAGTGGTACTCCTATGACCCTGGCTACATCGGAGAAAGAAAGACGAAAATTATTAAAACAACTAGAAAATGTTAAAGAATTGGAAAATAATCTGCGTCAAGAAGTGGTCATGTTAAAAGCTAGATTACTTGAATCAAGTCAAACTAAGGTGAGTTATTTATTGAAGATCTCCAGTGTATATTAGCGTTAATTTTCATCACAAAGTGACATCAACTAGAGAAACATTTAAAACCATACGATGCATAACAACAAAAATCCTTATAAGGCCACTTAGATCAATAGCAATCCTATACTCATTGGTGACCAATATTGAAGTGAATCTCCTAAATTTTTTATCGATAACCTTACAGTGTTAGAATAACTTAGTCTTTAGAGAAAGCGGTAAATTATCAATAGATTACTTTGACAACAAAATATCATTAAAATCAAACTTACAAGTCATTTGATTATAAGTTAGTGTTTTTAAAGAAAATGCGCTCACTAGGATTTACAATTTCACTAGTTACTTACTTACTTACTCCCGTTATTCCCAATTGAGCATAGGCCGCCGAACAGCATTCTCCAACCCACTCTGTCCTGGGCCTTCCTTTTTCGTTCTATCCATTTGTTGTTCATTCTTCTCAAGTCTGTCTCCATTTCCCGGCGTAATGTGTTCTTTGGTCTTCCTTTCCTCCTCTGACCTTGAGAATTCCAAGTGAGGGCTTACTTTGTGATGCAGTTGTGTGCTTTTCTCAATATGTGTCCTATTCGCTCCTAGCGCTTCTTCACGATTTTATTAGACCTGATTAATTATCAATGAACTCGTTTTCGAACTACAAAGATAATCTGTCGTCAATCTGTTTGCTTTCTTTCTTCTTGTTAAATTTACAGTCAAGTGTATGAAGTAATGGATTTGTCTTCTTTAATCACCAAAAATATATTTTGAAAATGTAATGATCAAATCTAACTACATTTTATTAAATCGAAAAATTATTTATAAAAATTTATATCACAGAATGACTTTAACTGAACAATCAGGAATTACTGGACAGTTGGTGGGTCTTGCTGTATTACTTCTCAATGATATTATTCACAAGTTCACCATGGAGCTTATTTTGGACCTTCATGACTTGCAGCCAGCTGTTATCCTTAATAGATTTGTTAATAACATAATAATTAGTTGCTAAATTTGCGGGCGTATCCCTGGATCTTTAGTGGAAAATCGTCTTTGGTTTAGTTCCATCCTAACAGAAGTGAGACATGTATTACTGATGCCAATAGGTGGCAGCAGTGCAAGGTCAGGAATTGACTAAAGTCCATAGATTTTACATGCATCACAATTCCTAGAAGTCATGGATTCCATCTCTTATAAGGTTATAGAGATGCACTATTGGTGAGCCTCATTCTAGGATGAAAGGGTTGTACAATCTTTAAACGGTTATTTGGCTGAAAATAATGTGAGAAATAAGATATTATAAATAGTGTGTTAATTTGATCAAATATAATTACATTTGATAAATAGGTTCTGTGATGACAGATGATAAATAAACAACTGCATACAATTAATTGAAATTTGCAAATTAAACAATCTCGACTAGCCTCTCCTATTACCATTATTGTTTTTGTTTAATTTTATTATCTTTTAGCATTAACAATAAATAAGGTATGTTTATACTGTACAACTCTACTAATATGAATGGGTTTTAATTTAAGTCGTGTGGTTGAGTAACATAAGAATCTAATAATCTATACAAGTAATTAGTATTCGTGAGGATAATATTCCCATAGCATCTTTCGAAGTTCTCTGCGTGAATACATAATCAATGTTTTATAGTGAAAATTTTAGTTTATTTCATCTTCGTATACTAGACCATGACTATAATATATAATGAGCATTAGGTGTACATACATTGGTTGTTTAAAACGTTGATCCCATACTCTATGGTTGATAATGTAAGTAATTCACAGTATTATGTATAGTGTATCTTCCTAATGAGTACTAATAATTACATAACTCGAGTGTTTGACATTCCCTCGTATACATTTAGTCAGTTAATACTTGTTATAACTTGTGAACCTGTGTGCCCTGTTTATTGTATAACGCAACGATACCGCCAATCAGAGAGCAGCAAATTATCAATCGAACCAGTGACGCATAAAACACGTGCGAGCAACCTAGAGTCCTGATTGGCCGTGCTTTCCTCCTAGCCCAGCCAGTTGAGTCCAGAACACCAGTCTCAGCCTCTGCAATATGAATCATTTATTTCAAACATACTCGGTTTATGTATCAACCAGACAGATCACAACGTACCATAAAATATGAAACAACATTTGTACAGGAATTTGCCAAATGTGGCTGTGAATGAGGGAGATAGTAACTAATAGACAGGCCATAACTCAAGAATTCTAAATCGTATAGTAATAGTCTATGGGTCAAATTAAAGCTTATAATAAGAGCGACATGAATATGAACAGTTTAGTTACATAGCAATTATGCGATAAAAATATACTCATAGTATTTGTCCATAAATGGATCCCAAAAGTTACCATTCATTATTCTTATCGGGATATAACAATATTGATTATAATGTCCACTTTAATTGTAACTATCTTGTCTTACAGTTTATATTTGACAAGTATTCAAAAATGAATACAACACAGAAATGCTAAGTGTAATTTATGTTTTTATGAAATTGTATATATCTTTTTATAACACATGATAGTATGTTTCACTTGAATAAGGTTTATTCAGAGATAACTTGTTGCCCAGTGATATAATCGTATAATATTTTTTTTGAAATGCATGGCTACATACTAACTAATTACACACATATTGCAATTGTAAATAAAATTAATTCACATGGAAAATACTGAAGTATATTTTTATTATCTCCGACCTCAATAGGTTATTTCGTTTAGTTGTAGTATACTGTAGTGAACAGAACACGGGTGGGGACAATCGAATGTATTCAGCACAAAATTACAAGACTTGTTAATAAAATCTAACAATCAAATAGTAAATGCGTAATTTGTAAAATGTCCACCACTTGTCTCATAATGACTCAGACTTTATTGTTCTTGCATTTTCATAGAAATTGCATTCTGTTTCCATTCTTTACTGTTCGATCCTCTTGTTTCTCTGCTGTCAGACATTCTGTTCCTGACTAACATCATATATTACTTATGTTAATATAAGTAGCACACACCACATATCAAACAAAAAAGTGTTTAATTTTGTTCCTACAATAAACTGGACCTGATAGTTGCTATTAGTGTAGATATTTTTTTAAGATTGTATATGAGATCTATTCAGTTTTAAAGCTTAATATGCAATTGTCTGAGTTAGGACGCAAATAAAAAATAAGATTTTTAAAACACTTGGAAATTAGTTAATAAATTAAAAAGTAGCTGAAAAGCACTGAATAACTACTTGAATTTTCCTTACGAAATCGACCCAATACAAAATGAAATGTTAAATATATAGTACTAAAATATTAAATTTATAGATTGTTATTATGTAATCTGAATCTGTTTAAGTCGGTAAATTCACAGTCTATTTCAACCATTATTCTATATTTTTCTTTATTAACAACGATAAATGCCCCCCCAAATGCCCTGGTATGGCCGAGAGTGAGGAGAGTTCGCTCTCCCTCTCCAAATGCTCTCACATGGTCACGCATATATAGCCACTGCCAGGGAAGTCCTACTCACTGCCTTCTCGTGAAGAGAGTGTTGTTTACGAAATTGAGAGGACGAAATGCGAATGTCTGGCGCTTTAACCGGGTTGGTGGATATGGAGAGTCCACCTAGGGTAGTTGGGAAACCTTGATTCCAAACCACTGGTGCACATGGGCTCCAGGATCCTGAAGGAACAAGTGGCGTATGAACCAATCGTTGGTCACAGGCTACCATGAGATTGCATCTCGTGACGTTGCTCGACGGCCTTGTGGATCGGACTTTTAGGTCAAAGGCTCCAGGTGTGGCCCCCTAGGAAAACTACCTGCTTCGATCTGGGCACCCGGGTAGTATCCTAGCCCTCACATAAATCGAATGATTTATGTGGCGCATATATATTTGGGGCTTCTTGTACCAATATCTATGTGTTAAAATGAAAAATATAAAAAAAACAAAGGTCTACAAGGTGACCGTGGTACGTTGTGTAAATAAATTTTCAGAAAGAAATATGACATATTTGAAAGTTTACTATTAACTATTAGAACTAGATAGCATTGTCCTGTTTGTTTGAAACAATTGTTTGTGCTACAACATGGTGTTATTTTCATTATATTGTTGGGGCGATTGTTGGATTGCATTGAAATCACAAACCGAGCAAATTTCGACTGCAATTGAGAATCTGTAAACACCTAATCGTCGTTTAGTGCTAGTATGAGATTTCTTTAACAGTGTGCATCCACGACGGCGCAATCGGAAATCAAATCCAATATCTTCTGTTTTGCATACTAACGCTTAACCAATAAACCACTAAGCCGGGATCCAATGGTGTATAGTTCTAACTTCAGTCAGTTCACGATATTGTGGAACCATCTTTTAATGTGTTTGATGTGTATCTTCCTTATACCTGACACGTTATACGCACTGTTGAGGAATCTAACACTAAGACAAAACAGCAGTTCAGTACTTCCATATTTTTCAATTGTTGTCTAAATTTGATCGGTTTATGATTTTAACAAATGTTATTTCTAGCCACCCTTAAACCTTGATTTCTTTTTAGCTTGCTCAAATGAGTGTATCAAAAGCTTTACGTGCTGCTCAAAATAAAATTGATGAATTAGGCTCAATATGTGAAAATCGTGATAATGAAGTTAAAAAATTAACTACTGAATTAAATGAATCCAAGAAACATTCAAATATTGAAATAGAAAATCAAAATGAAGAATTACAAAAATTAAGAAAAGAGATTAAACATTTACAAACTTCATTGAATAGTAGTCAAAAATCTGAGGAACATGTAAGTTGTTTACAATAAATACAAGAAGAAATAATTTGAGTAAATTAAGTTAAAGAATTAAATTTTTATAAAGTAACCCTAAGATCTATGAAAACTTTTCAACAGAAATAATGAAGAATAAAAAATACTGCATTCATTTGGTATTGTTTACTTGAATCTTCTGATTGATGTTTAGGACTACAATTGATCAGTCTCTTATTGGCACATGTGCATCCTGTGCGGATTGCCTCGATATTACTTTAAGTCACAAGCATAATGAGCAAAGATGGATGATGGGTAACAGTAGAATGCAGGACTCGCGTTTCGTCCTATTTGGGACTCGTCAGCTGGATGTACTTGCATTTGAACATATGCCAATAAGAGACTGGTCAATTGCAGTCCTAAACATCAATGAGAAGATTCACGTATACAATATCAAATGAATTTAAGCTTCATCCCATTGCAAAAGCAAGTGGCTATCAGGACTCAGTAGCTAAATAGATAACGCGATGACGTTTAAAGCGAGCAGTACTGGATTAAAGTCCAGAAGTGAACACCAACTCTGGGATGCAAGTACATCCAACTGATGAGTCCCAAGTAGGAAGAAACACTCGTCTTGTATTCCACTGCCAGCCACCATTCGTCTTTGCTCATAATAAAGTATGCTGTTTAAAACACAAGGATTTCTATTTTCAAATAATGATTCATTATCTACTATCAAGAGGTTTATTAAAATAACTTTCATACATGTTTATTCATATTTCTATAGAAGTTCAATTAGAAATAATATTCAGTTGTAAAATTTATGTTTTTCTTCTTCTTCTTCTTCTTCTTCTTGATTATAACTTTTCTAAAGCTTTTAGAATTTCGTAAACTTGTTGCAATTTATCTTGGATTAGATAATGAACAATTAACTATTCCAGATTATGAAATATTAACACATTTAGATCGTTTAGTCTCAGCTAATCAATCTCAAGTTGCAAATGCGGTAGCTACAGAAAGAGCAATAGATTTAGTAACTGGTAATACTAGATCTAGTAAGTGTAAATAAATTTGCATGTTCATTTATAATTATGTATTGATCATACTGTTAATACTCTGAAGTTTCATGTATATATATATATATATATATATATATATATATATATATATATATATATATATATATATATATATATATATATATATATATATATACCAGGACAGAATACAAAACTGACATTTGTATAAGTCAATATTTTCAATTTCATTGAAGGATCAATCTATGACTTTTCCAAAATGGGATACAGACTATAATTTATCAGCTAGAGTTTATCATTCTTACGTGTAATAAATTATCACTGGATAAAGTAAATTTTCTCCCTTAACCTTTCACTAGCTGTATAGAATATAAAATTTATGTGTATAGGACTTACTGCAAAGTTCCGATACAACACAATCACACTTTTAAAAATTGAAAACTCAAGTTAGGAAACATTCAAAGAGAGATTTCTACAAGTTTGTCTGATCATGATTACAGAAACTTATGCCTGAAACACAGTCAATTATTCACATAAACAATCATCAATCAACTCATATTTACCAAACATATTGTGGACATCTGAAAAACATTCCAAATCATTAACAAATATTCAACACGAAGTCTACCTCATTTTGTACAGGCAATTATTATCGCGACTCTCCAATCTCATCTACGTGTATTGAAGGTAGTTCTGTGATGTTCCTTTGATCACCACAGTGATCGTGAACACAATCGGATAACTATCTACCCTTAAATAATTTTGATGATCTCCATACATCGACTTTCATTCAGTTTTATTCATGTCGACCAGTCGTGTAATCGTTGACCGTTTCGATTACCATAGTGTAATCCCTTCTTTCATCACGATCATTAGTGATCGTTGCCCAACCTCTTATAATCTGAATGACTGTATTCGTAGTAGTTAAGCGCATGAACAATCCTAATGGGGAGCAAACCAAATACCTTCGACCTCATGAACAAACGCTTAATCTGTAGACCACGAAACCGGAATCCATTGTTATATGTGTTTAACTCGAGTGATGGTCTAACTAAGGTGATTTAGTGATGTGTCAACTATGAAGATTTGGCAATCTTCACCAACTCCTGTACTAATGTAACCACATGTCAATCAGAACTACATTTAATTACATGTGGTGTACCGTATTCTACATATAATGATTTTCGTCTATGTCTTGAATATCGATCTCAATTTGACTAGGCGAATCATTGTATTGCTTTGTTTTGAATAGTGTTACTGTTTGCAGTTTTAAGCTGTGTGTTGTAGTTGATTAGAAGCCTTGAAATGCAAGGAACTCGTTTTATTCCGTAAATTATGTTCCTTTTTCACCATTCGATCTTCACTTAGATTTGGTTTATAATAATAAATCGACTATTTTATAATTATTTTAATTTGAAAGTTAAGGATGAATATGAGTTTCATTCGTTTTCCAATGACTAACTTTCCTGTTTTCTATTTTAGATATTCTAAATCATTACGGTCGGTGACAGCAAAGGGAACTAGCCCTCTAGTAGTACCTCATGGCATCTAAAATTGAATCATCGAAGCAATATTTTTAAACGACTGTCCTAAGGGTATATAAGTGTACATGGAATATAAATTTTATACTTTAAATAACTTTTCGAATTTTACGTTTTAAGATCAGTGAGATGAAAGGCCTCCTCTGTTTATTCACTCCTAAGCTGTGAGTAAACGTCACACACGATTGGAATTAAAGTCAGTTTCATATCCCATTTGGATTCCAATCGATCAAGTCATTGCTCACCAAATTATTGATTCATTTGAATTATTTCATTGATGATGTTATGGTTACAAATAGCAAGATAAAGTTGTATAACATTTTGGAATCCTTGCAGCTTATGCTAGTCTATTTGATTATGGTGCGTTCTATTAACTGAGTAATTGAGTTGCAAAGTCTTCGCTGTCAACACTGATAGCATTTTGTGATGATTAGTAGTATTTGAATTATTATACGAACTAGGAATTCCCGAAATAACGCAATTTAGACCAAGAAGAACTAGGTGTGCATGAACATATTGTATTTGGAATTGGAAGTCAAATACAAATGGATTATTAGTTCATACAAACAACATACATTCTCAATGCCAATTTGAAAAAACAAGTAGGCCTCTGGAGACTTGTAAACGTTATTCGACTGAAGTTTGAACATGTATCACTACCAAGGTTTGATTTGATAATTTAGAATAAAATAAGCATTGGGTATATGATTATAAACCAAGTAATATATTTGTAATAGCCCAATGAGTATCGAAAAATTAATTTTCTGACGTTTCGTAACTCAGTGTAAGCCACTTCTTCACATAATATTCTTGTTATTCCGTCGTACTAATTAAACTTGGATTCATTTTGTTTTGGTTATTTATTCTCTGAGGAAGTGGTTTACACTGAGTCACGAAACGTCAGAAAAGTTAATTTTTCTACTCATTGGGATATTACAAATATATTCATTTACTTATTAAGTTTAAATACTTTTGGCCTAAACCCAAAAAATCGTCAACTTCAATGTTTTGTAATCCGTGAAATTAAAAAATAAGTAGTAACAATAGTAAACTACTCTACAATGTTATTTTTGAAATCCATCTGTAGATTGTGATTCATCAGATTTTAAAGTCTCCTCCAACAACATTTTTTCTACTGCTTACTCAGTGTACACAAATATTGTTTCATGGTTGTAGATATATCTCCTCACACTTATGGTGGACAATGCAAAATCAGACAAAACATAGGGAACATCCCTCGGAAGTCCCCGATGTAATCGCAAAACATCATATCTTTTCATTTTTTACAGACATTAACATTGGCAGTTTTTTAATCTGCGTTATCATTTATCTGAAACTTTTACTTTAACCACTAAGTGTATTTTCTTATCCATTTTACTTATGGAGATGATCTTAATTCTAAGATTCAATCATAACTTGATATTTGGTGACTGATTTCAATTTTATTCACTTATATCCTATCATGAAAGAAGACGAACTGTGTGGTATTGTAACCATGTGTAACTCACGAAGTGAGCCTGTTTTTATCAACAGAGTAAAATCTCAATTATCATACCAGCATATTTACTGTTATACGTCCTAACAACATTTGGTCATTATCTTAAAGAGAGCAAGGACGAAGATTTGTGTAGAATAATATGAATTCATTTTATTTCGTTAGGTTCTCATCAGGTGCTTACAACCTAAAATATTTGAAAATCAACGTTATCACAAATGTTGACATACTTATACGTAATAGGTTGATCAAAGGTGAATACGTACGTCATGATGTTGCGAAGACTTCAATAGAGTTAATAAGGTCATAAAAATTTTGATTCAGATAAATAAAGCTTGGAAGGGAAAATCCTAGAACATTGAAATAGTGTTTAGAACTCAGGAAGTTAAAAAGCAAAGATGATTTAGTGTTACGAGGGCAAAGAAAGGTTTATTACTGTCTCTTTTTGGGTACAGAGATCTGGTTTTAGATACAGATGAACCTCTCGTACCCAAAGAGCACCATATAAATGATTACCTATTTTTGTGTTGTTTTCTTTGGTATAAAGCCTACATAGGCCTGTTCTGAATTCTAATCAAGTAGTATTTCAGTCTCCATATGACCTTCCATGTGTACCTCTATGTCCTGTGACCTTGTCAATACAAATTCATAAGTATGTTTTATGTATGGCCGAATCGTACGACTTTCGACGAATGAGTCTCTTTTAACTTTGTCCTTGTTATTCCTATACTTGTGCGTCTGGTTTGTGCTTATGAGGGTCTGCATGCTCACTTATCTTACCACATATCTTCCTCCTTGTTTGCATTATTCGTTCTTTATTTGAAATAAATCAACGCTAGTGACAAGTAGTATTTTGAAATCAGAGCCTTAAATTTTATCGCTCAGTCTTATTTTCTGTCTTCAATGACGAATATGCCACAAATTTGCATCTAAAACACTTTCATACTCAACTTCCTACTTTAACGTTGTGTCAAAATAATCAGTCGGTAGAACATTTGAAAATCTGTACAGTGTCAATATTTCAATATCGTCGTTATCATTCGATGATAATGAAGTCAGCGAAAGCAACAAGCACCTCCACTATGCCTCCTGACATAAAGGAAAATTTCATTTTCTTCTGACGAACTTAAGGAAGTATAGATTGTGCATTACGGAATGATAAGGTGAATGTGATGCACTCAAAATTCGATTCATTTCGGTCTATCACTTATGCAATCCAGTACTAAGGTGTATTTAGAAGGACACCTAATGAAGTGCTAATAAAAACCCAAGTGCAAATATTTTCACCGGTAAAGCCAGAAAATCGTCGAACTACGCAACGGAGATGATAGTAGTATCATTACACCCTGAATATGGCTGGAGGTTTAATTTAGTTCTGCCGGTATTGTGGGCATAAATTTAGTTTTAATCCTTGATCACTAATCCACTTATTGCCATTGTTTACGGGCTCCTAATCCTAATGTAACATAATAAGAACCATACACTTGAACAATCAGGAATACTTCGCAGATGGACATCCAATGGAACAAACTTCTTACTACTTCTGTCCAGCAATTTTTAAAGTCAAGATTCGCATACTATTTACGTATGATGTGGCTTCTCAGAGTCCCTCTCAATAATCAGAAATTCACACTGATCACTACTGGTTTATAATATACCACCACATTAAAAACCATCAACTTAGTCTTTCTTACCAATGGATAACCATAATAGAATATCACACAACCATTACTGGACCAGGCTGTATGTAAGTCTAGCTATCTAACTTATATGGATCAACTACATATCTAGTTATTTAAAAGAGCATTTTTGGATTAACTTGAGGTCTCTCGCTAGAACGGTTAGAAGTATAGGTGAAATTTAGAGTGCCTTTAAGGTTTTATCGCCAAGAAGTTTGTGTTTACTAACTTTTTATTGCGAAATCTCTAATCTTATGCACTCCCTCATCCATTTGAAATATCTTATAACTCTCTTTCAAGTATGTATAAATACATGCACAATAACAGCGTTTTCACAAGTTTTGAAGCTATCAAGTTCAAAGTCCTAATAGTTAACCAAGGGCTCGTCGAAATTTGAAGTTTTACCCGGAAAGAATCTCGAAGAAACGTATGCATTACTAAGCACTTAACTGAAATACGAAACGCTAGTATCTCGACAAGCACAGTACACCGCTTTGGCAAATAGATTTTTATTTTTATTAATACTGAGGGAGAGGCTGCCCTAAAACAAAGCTCTTGCAAAAGCCATCTGCTTGAGAACGACAAAAAAAGATGATTGCATCTCATGTTCGACATCGGTTCGAGCCATTGGCTTGGCCTGGAGAGCTGTAGCGGTAAATAAATCCCCAAAATAAATAGCTCTGTAAGTTTTCGACATTGGATGCAGACCACATTTGTTTTAACGGACTCACAACCTTGGAATATCGACGCTAGTGTAAAGTTTTCCGTTCATATGTTTCTCAGACTTACAAAATCAGCCGAACTTGGACCATTTGGTTATTAAACAGACACATAAAAGGTAGTAATAATGATTTACGTGAAATTCAAACTACACAAGGCTGTTCAGTAGTGTGCTAAGAACTAAAATACTCGAATTGTGCCAATCCTTTTTTTCACAAAAACATTGTAAATTCTGATTTCATCCAGCACATATTTTGTTTTTTCGCTTTTAACATCTAAACAAATCATTTATTCTCAATGCTAGTTTCAAACTTCTGAAGTTTTTTAACTGAAGGATTTCGCGGGCGGACATGCCTTTACCGTCGGTTACGCAAAGACTAATTCTTGTTAATTCAATGTCATATGAGTTACATATGATCAACAGGGAATTATAAGTCAGAGTGTCTGTCTATTTTCGATCAACATTCATTCGAAACTACTGAAGGAGTAGAAACGAGAAAATTTTTGATAAAACGAATGGATTATAAGGTGTGATAAATCTCACAGACTCAATAAACGCAGTGTTTTTTTAAATGCTTTCAATGTTCGATGCCATTTCTGTACACTGTCTACATTAAGAAACTCAAATGTGGTTAACAATATTACTGACATTTCGGCAATATATCCAGTCAAGAGAACTCCCATTTTGTTTCAAACATATAGTGGTTGAAGACTTTATGACTTAATCATTGAGATTTGTCACATCCTGAAAGAATTATAATTAAATTAGAACGTGAACCTGTAGTGGCATTGGACTATAACCACACAATCTTCAAAGCTGAACACAACACTACTCGGAAAATAGATATTCAATATTTAACGCGGAGAAATACCTAACGATGGAAAAGGCGGGAACATTCAATTGAATGAGTTGGAGTTGGTCGGATGGCATGGCCCGGCCATGCAGGCGTGGTCCATCCGAACGTTACCTTATATCTTCTATTCATATTAAATATATTGTTCCTTCTCTAGCCTAACCTCGTTCTACATCATGTATTGGTAATTGATACGATACGGTGAGTTGGTGTAGTCGATGGTGTGACTTCCACGTAAGATCATGACAAAACTACAATTTTAGGATTAGGTCTATTATTACAGCAGTACTAGTATTATAGTAGACCATAATTCTACAAACCAATCATATAGGTAATAGATAAGTTAAAA